CGAAATGTGCGGCGGGGACGCACGTGAACGCGGCCACTGGGGATTTCGGTGGAGTTCCTTCTGGGGCAACAAAACGTGTAAGGGCTGTGACGACATGTGACAGATGATGGGGATGGTGCTGATGATGCTGATGATGATGCTGACATTGATGACATTGATGCTGATGATTATGGTCATGATGATGATGTTGATGGTGCTGCTGACGATGAGGATGATGTTGATCATACTCATAGTGATGATGATGATGATGATGATGATGATGATGATGATGATGATGATGATGATGATGATGATGATGATGACTGTGGTGATGGTGATGGTGTTTGTGCTCGTGATGACGATGCTGATGCTGGTGATGATGACAATGATGATGATGATGATGATGATGATGATCATGATGATGATGATGATGATGATGATGATGATGATGATGATGATGATCATGATGATACTAAAAATACTGCCGATTATGGTGGTGAGGATGATGCTGATGATGATAATGCTGATGATAATGTTGATGGTGACGATGGTGGTGATGATAATGATGATGGTCGTAACTCGTGTGAGATGGGTGATGACGATGATGATGACGAGGACGAGGACGATGGAGAAGGAACAGGCGTGACGCGGGGGGCGGCCGTTTCAAAACGAAGACCCAAAACCACAAGGTGGCTGAGAACAACGATACCACAAGCCATGAGCCGACCGGCAAAGGCCCGAGGCAAGCACTCTTGAGGAGGGGACGCCTACCTCGGAAACATCTGCTCGGAAGACCAAATAGACGAAGAGGATCGGCCGAAGGTCCTCCGACGGGCCTGGCGCGACAAACGTTTCTGTTTGACCTCGACAGGCCTCACCACATAAGCCAGAGGCGACTCCACACCGCCTCTGTGGGAAATGCTGTGAGCATTATGCACCGTGAGGTAGGGAGGGGGAACACGACGGAGCAACAACAACGAACACAACAAACACACACACACACACATACATGCAACCAGTCACCGGGCCGCACATCGTGTGGGCCTGCTTTGACACGTACGCGGGCCCTGCGGATCGGACGCGAAACGACTGTCGGCGGATACCAAATCCGATGTTGGGGAACCGAAGCCAATGTCGGTAGATACCAAAACCGTGTTTGGTGGATACACGCGAAAATCTGTCGATGTCTGACGAAACCGATGTCCAACGTTACCGAAACCGCTGGCGCTGGATACTGACACCGCTGGATATGGATTGTGTACTTCGATACCGTCCTGAAAAAATCACAACGGTAATCCACATGCGGCTAATTACATGCACCAAACGCGTTATAACGACGGCGTGATGTAATCAGCCAAACGCGCTGCGAGGACTGACAGACAAATGCATCTTGACAACAAACCGGACAAGGAAACATCTTGACAACAAGGACGAGTAATACGACAAGGAATGACGAGACGAGCAAGAGGAATGTCAATAACGAAATTCAGACATCTAGACAATGACCAGATACTGTTGGACAATTAATTCAGGCTCCTGCCTGGAACACTGCATCCGAACTGCGCGAATCTTTTTTTTTTTTTTTTTTTTTTTTTTTTTTTTTTCTCTCTCTCTCTCTCTCTCTATATATATACACATTACGGGGAAAGGCGCGCTTCGATCGAAATCGTAACTGCAAACAACACCGAGAATCACCGGCACTTCCACAATAACGGAACATATGACGAACTGGAATTGAAGACCTCGGGAGTGAGCGACAACACAGCAGCGGATCAGCTACAATCAGAACGTGCATTGAGGACGGGTGGTAAGGACGCAAGGCCCTTGGATGCTGAAGCTGGGATACCGTGGGCGACGGGCCAACAGTGAAGAGCGGCAGAGGACGGACCGCAGAGGCAAGGACGCGCGCGAGGGTACCCTCGATGAAGGCGCGCGTCCTGACTAGGCGCGGTGGCTGCATTGCTCCACGCGCATGGCCTGGCGGCATCGCGAGGCCGGCCGCGGTGGCTGGGGCCACAACAGTGCGCGAGGACCAGCGCTGCGCGGACCGCATGCGGGGTTTCGTTGCGGCTCGTCTTTTTTCTCTCGTCTGGACACCCCGGCCCCCTCACCGCTGCCCCACGATCAGAGGCGACGTTAGGGGCGAATAGCCCAGGGGAGAGCAATCCATGTATCCAGGGGCGCCGATGATCTATATCTTCGGCAAGGCTCCCGGGCGAATACGTGTGATGCCCCTCCCCTGGGCTATTCGCCTTCATCGTCGCCGCCGACACGACCTGACTTTGCATGTCCCTGGCGGATGTTCCTGGCATCACGGCGCCTTCCCGCCGTCCGCACGATGCGGTCCGCCATGAGCGGGCCCCATAAGGTCGCACACGGCAAATCGGGACGATTGAGGTGGGTACGGAAATTATTGGTACGAAGGCCGACAGCGGCCCCTGCTCGTTTTGGGCAGGGCTCGCTGTAGGTTTCGCCGTGGGCCTTGTCCATCTGAGACAGAAGGCCGCCTGTCCAACAGCGGCCGCTGTCGGTCTTGGACAGCATGTGTTGTTGGGCATCGCACCAATTTTTCCGCACAGTCAACCCGCATGATAAGGAATGATACGGATGCGCGGTAAGGATGCAAGGGGCTTTTTTCCGAGGTAAGGATGCAAGGGCCTTGGAAGGCCATGCCGATACTGCGCGAGCGGGGCGCGGCCAGCGAAAGCGGCCAAGGAAGGACCGAGGAGGCAAGCATGAAAGGGGTACCCTTGGGAAGGTTGCCCGTCGTATTGACTGCACCCATCTGGGGCGTCTAAAACAAGGGCCCGTCCTCCTGCTCCTCCTCCTCCTCCTGCTCCGCCTCCTCCTCCTCCTCCTCCTCCTCCTCCGCCTCCTCCTCCTCCTCCTCCTCCCCCTCCCCCTCCTCCTCTTCCTGCTCCTCCTCCTCCTCCCGGCGAGGCCGAGAACGGCGGCCGGCCTCCTCGCGCTCCCGCGCCTCCTCCTGCCTCGCCCTCCTCCTCCGCACCCTCCTCGTGCCCTCTTCTGACTCCCCCTCCTCCTCCTCCTCGTCCTCCTCCTTCTCTCCTCCTCCTCCTCCTCCTCCTCCTCCTCCACCACCTCCTCCTCCTCCTCCTGCTCTTGCCCTTCTCGCACGTCCTCCTCGCCTCTGCCGTCGTCGTCGTCGTCGCCGTCGCCGTCGCCGTCGTCGTCGCCGTCGTTGCCGTCGTCGGTGGCGGCGACGTCGACGTCGACGTCGACGTCGTCGTCGTCGTCGTCGTTGCCGTCGTCGGTGGCGGCGACGTCGACGTCGTCATCGTCATCGTCGTCGTCGTCGTCGTCGTCGTCGTCGTCGTCGTCGTCGACTGCGGTGGCGGCGGCGTCGTCGTCGTCGTGCTCCCGGCTTCTGGGGCCCAGAGCACCGTCTCCGCCTGCCCTCAGCCAGCGAGCCCGCGCCCCTGGGCGTCTTGCCCCTCGTCGTTGTCGTCATCCTCATTTTTCACGGCAAGCAGTGGGGTGCCGAAGCGAAGCGTGACCATCGTCGTCCTCATCCTCCTCATCCGCCCCCTGCTCCCTCCGCCTCCTCCTGTGCGAGGACGAGGACGACGAGGAAGAAAAAGGAGGAGGATGATGAGGAGGAGGAACAAGAGCAGGATGAGGATGATGATGAGGAGGAGCACCCCCCAAAACATCCTGGCGACCCTCCACCAGACCACTGGAGCGCCCCAGAGCCTGCTCTGACCGACCTTCACAGCGCCGCCGTCGTCGAACTGCGGCGGCTGAGGCGGGCTGTGCTCATCGAGAGACGTGGCGCGTCTAATCCCACCAGCCCTCTGGGCGTCGGTGGTTTAGGGCGTTTCCTCTTCCACCCCTCCCTCTTCCCCTTCGGGGAGGGGTTTACCCCTCCCCCTAACCCCTCCCCACTGACCTGGACAGGAGGGGCGGGGAGCGGTCAGAGCGTCCAAAACGGCCTCGGCGAGGAAGCCAAAATCATTGATTTTACTATGGTTTGGGCCCCATTTTGGCCTTCTGAGGGGGCAGCGCTAATTAAAGCTCCCCTCTTCTTTGATCGATTTCCTCCACGATGGCCGCAAGAGGCCCCCAGGATGCCCCAAGAGGCCGCAGGATGGCCCCAAGATGGCCCCAAGAGGCCCCCCAAGAGGCCCCCAGGAGGCCCCCAAGAGACCCCCAAGAGGCCCCAAGAGACCCCCCAGAGGCACCCAAGGTGCTCCCAGAGGCCTCGGCGATAATGTCAAACCATTGTTTGCACTAAGGTTTTAGCCACATGTTGGCCTCTTGGGGGGGGGCACTGATTAAGATGACTCCAAGAGCGCCTCGGAGAGCCCAAAATGACCTCCAAGATGGCTCAAGAAATCCCAAGATGTCTCATACTGGCTTCCTCTGTGTGCTGTCCACTTCCCTGATCGAGGCAATCCCACCAGCCCTCTGGGCGTCGGTGGTTTAAGGCGTTTCCTCTTCCACCCCTCCCTCTTTCCCTTCGGGGAGGGGTTTACCCCTCCCCCTACCCCCTCCCCGTGGACCTGGACGGGGGGGGCCGCGAGCGGTCAGAGCGTCCAAAACGGCCTCGGCGAGGAAGCCAAAATCATTGATTTTACTGAATGTTGGCCCCATTTTGGCCTCCTGAGGGGGCAAAGATGGCCCCAAGAAGCGCCCAGGAGGCCCCCAAAGGCCCCAAGATGGCCCCAAGAGGCCCCAAGAGGCCCCCAGGAGGCCCCAAAGAGGATCCCGAACGGCCCACAGAGGCCCCCCCGAGACACCCAAGACGCCGAAAAGCCCCTCAGGACGACCCTCTACTCGCCTGGGCGTCGTTTCTGGACGGGCTGGTGGGGATACGCGAAGCGTCTAGAATTCATCGTCCTCGTCGTCGTCCTCGTCCTCCTTCCTCTCCTCCTCCTCCTCCTCCTCCTCCTCCTCTCCTCCTCCTCCTCCTCCTCCTCCTCCTCCTCCTACTCCTCCACCACCTCCTCCTGCTCCTCCTCCTGCTCCTGCTCCTCCTCCTCCTCCTCCTCCTCCTCCCCCGCGAGCAAACAAATATTTCGCCCGCGCGGCTGCACCTCGGGTATGGCTGCCGCTCGGCAGGCGGCGGCGGCGGAGGCCGGCGGCGGCGCTCGTCGAAAAACGTGGCGCGCCCGTCGGCGCAGGCGCGGCTCCTGCCCCTCCCGGCAGCTCGCGCGGGGGAGGGGCGGCGCGGCAGAGGGGGAGGGGCGGGAGGAGGAAGGAAGGCAGACGCTGAGAGGAGGCGCGTCCCTGCCCTGCCCAGGCAGCTCGCGCGGGACGGCGCAGACGAGAGAGAGGGGAGACGAGAGAGAGGGGGGAGGACGGGGCAGACGAGAGAGGGGGGAGGAGGGCAGAGGGCAGACGAGAGAGAGGGGAGGAGGCCAAGGCAAGTGCGCTCGCGCCGCACCTGACAGCATGCATCGTACCGGGTACGATGTATGATGTCGGCGCCCACCTATCACAAAAACAGGATTCGTAAACAATCTCTGGACAGGAAACGATTTCCAGACCATGTTTTGGGATTGCAGGTATCCGACATCTGAGAGAGCGTGATCCACCGCCGCTTTACTGTGGAAAATTGCCAACCTTTTCCTCCGGAGCCTGGGGGTCTCCCCCCCCCCCCCTCCGAAAATCCCCCCCCTCCCCCTGCCGGAACCCTCCCCCCCCCCCTCCCGGCAAAACCCCCCCCCCCCCCTAACTCCCCTCCCCCCCCCCCCTCCCTCCTCCTCCTCGAAAACCGAGGGGGGTCACTACCGGTTTTGAACCCCTCCCCCCCCCCCCCCCCCTCCGGATCCGGAAAACCGGGGGGGGTCACTACCGGCTGGACCCCCCCCCCCCCCCCTCGAAAACCGGAGGGGGGTCACTACCGGTTCGACCCCCCCCCCCCCCGCGCACCGCCAGCAAACGACTCCCGGTCCCTACCACCGCTCGCATCACATCCCCCACTGTTGTTCCCAGCACCACTGTCCTCACCACCACTGTCCCCACTGGTTCCACCACCGTCCCTATTGTCCCCACCAATGCCCCCACCACTGTCGCACTGTCCCCACTGTTCCCACAACTGTTCCCACCACGGTTCCACTCTCCCCACTGTCTCCACGGACCCAACCACTGCCTATCCCCACTGTCCCCACTGTCCCACTGACTCCTCCGCTGTCCCACTGAGCTGTCCCACTGTTTCCACCACTGTCCCCACTGTCCCCACCACTGTCCCCACTGTACCTCTGTCCCATTGTCCCACCGCCGTCCTCGCCACCGCCTTTACCACTGTCCCCACCACCATTGTACCCTCCACTGTCCCACTGTTTCCACCTCATTCCCACTGTCCCCACACCACTGTCCCCACCACCACCGTCCCCACCACTGTCCACTGTCCCCCCTGTTCCCACCATTGTCCCCACCACTGTCCCCACCACTACCGTCCCCACCACTGTCCCACTGTCCCACTGTCCCCACCACTTTCCCGCTGTCCCCTCACCACTGCCCCCACCAACACCGTCCCCACCACTGTCCGCACCCCCACTCGGTTTTCGAGGGGGGGGAGGGGTTCGAACCGGTAGTGACCCCCCCCTTTTCATGATGAACTGGGGGGGGGGGGAGGGGTTCGAACCGGTAGTGACCCCCCCGGTTTTCCGGAGGGGGGGGGGGGGAAGGGGTTCGAACCGGTAGTGACCCCCCCCGGTTTTCCGCCAGCAGCGGTAGAACACGCTCTTTCCGACATCTCTATCGTACCCCTCCCTCCCCTCCCCTCCCCTTGGGCCGTGTTTGCCATGTCTGGCAGCGGGCGTCATGGCGCACCTGGAGCACCCCCAGAGGACCCAGTCGTGCCACGCGGAATCTGCCATGGGGAGCGGTGCGCATTCCAGGAGCAGGTGGCGGAGGAGCGGGAGAGAGAGAGAGAGAGAGAGAGAGAAGGATGAGGAGGGAGGCGGGCGAGAAGGACAAGTCGGATCCAGAGGTGGCCCGCGCTGGGGCGAGGACGCCTCTCTGAACAGAGGGGGGCAGAGCGCCGATCCGAACAGGAGGCCGAGGAGGAGGAGGAGGAGGAGGAGGAGGAGGAGGAGGAGGAGGAGGAGGAGGAGAGAGCCAAAGAGAAGGAGCTTGTGCACACCTCATAAGAGTAAGGAGCTTGTGCCACTGCAGCGTGGCAAAGATAGCACGCGGAGGGGGCCGCGCCACTTTGAGGACGTCCTCGGCGGAGAGAGGGGGGGTAGTATTCGTGTCGTGCAGTTGTGGAGGTGGATGAACACAGATCAGGAGGGCAGAAGGCGAGGACGGCAGATGGGAAGCAGAGGGATGAAGGAGGAAGGCGGAGGGTAAATGGGAGAGGAGGTTTTCACGGATCTTACACCAAGGGCCAGGGGAGGGGGAAGGGGATAACTAGGGGGATGGGGAGGCGTGGATACACGTCCTCCTGCCCTCCTCCTCTTCCTCCTCCTCCTCCTCCTCCTCCTCCTCCTCCTCCTCCTCCTCCCCCTCCCAGGGGATCGGGGGTAATATTCGCATTGCGAAAGAGCCTGTCAGAATGCATCGCCTGCGGAACACGTTCCGCTCGGTCGCGAGACCTGGTGGTGAGCGCGTGGCATCGGGGCCTGTCACCCAGACGAGCCGATTCTCGTCTTCATCCCGACCCTCTACATGTCCCAAACGCTCTCAAATTGTCCTGTCTTCATCCCCGCCCTCGTCCGTCATCAATCTCAGTCCGCGACTCTTCGCGCACGCTGTGGGGCCTCATGTACTGCGCCCTCGGTGATCGGCCGACCATGGTCCACGGCATCTCCTTGTAAGAATTTGGCAAACGAAACTGCGTTTTCAAAATCCAAAATGGGCGGCGTAACTGCGAACTTATGGATTCGCAGACCTCCTGGCCAAAGGAAGCCGTTCCCCCGCATGGAGGCCAGTCCACAAGAAACCTCCCACAAGAAACCCAACCCTGAGACCCCAGGGCGTCCATTGATTTTGGGTGTGGGAACGTCACGGTTTCCATCGCAGAACCATCGAACCCCAAGGAACCCAGGGCACCCTGGAGGCAAGCCAGGTGTTTCTTGGCACGGATCTCCACTGTACGAGGCTGACGAGTTGCATTTTGTACGAATCTTTTTGGGGGGAATTGCGAACGCTCGTCCCCGCCGCCTACCCTCCAGGTGGTGGCGCCGCCCCCTCTTCCGCCGTCCCGCGCCGCTACTCTGCTTGCTTCTCCCCCCTGCTCGTCCCTCGCGCTGTCTCGCCCAGGCTTCGTCGTCCTCCCCCCTCCTCCCTCTCGTGGCTGTCGTCCCCTGTCGCTTGCCCCCGTTTCCCCTGGCCCCAAGCTCGTCCGGGACCCAGGTGTCGCTTCCTCCTCTGCCTCCCTGCTGCGGTTACTCTCCCAGGTCGTCCGCCTTGCGGGCATCTTGGCGAGTCGGGTTATGCATGACGAGATTTGTAAACTTTCCGAGTGCATGGCGCCAACGACGCCGGAGGCTCTACATCGCCGGTCGCGCTGTCATTGTCATGCCACGCCGCGCGGGATATTTCACTGGCACACTGCGCAACGCCACGGCGCAGCGCGAGAGGCCCAGTCGTAGACGCTGTCGTTTCACCCACTCTTGCGCACCTCTGGCGTGCACGTGTTTTTTTTGTTTGTTTCTCTCTCTCTCTCTCGAGGCCACAGCCTGTGGTCGCGCATGTCACCCATATTGACAGGCTTGCAGCGTTGCGTGCTCGGATTGCCGAGCAGGAAGCAGCAAGGCAGGCCTAGCAAAGGTGGCTAAACATCGTTCGGTCAAGCGCGACCCCCCCCAAACAAATCATCCTCTTCCTCCTCCTCCTTCTCTTCTCTCTTGCTCCCTCCACCTCCCTCATCATGCTCCGTTCTCCTGCTGCTACCGCCGCCTCCTTCGTTCCTCCGCCCGTCCCCTCCTCCACCCTCCCTTCGTCCCTTCTCCTCCCTCCTCCCTCCCTCCCTCCTCGCTCCTCCACCCTTCGTCCTCCCTGCTCCTGCTCCGGCTATTCCGCTCATGTTCCCACGTCCCCTCCATCCGTGAAGCATGCGCCCCCTGCCCGGTTCAACAAGGGAAGGGCCCAAACCTCCTCGTCTTCTTGGTCGCCTCGCTGATGTGCCACTTACAAATCACCTGCGGGCGCGTGTGAGTTCCGCGCACAAGCAAGGAAGGAGAGGAGGAGGTAGATGATGAGGAAGAGGGCCATCGCACGGCTTCGGAGAGGGCTCGACTTCGCTATGTCGACTCGAGCGCTCTGAACTCAGCACCCCCCGGCTACCTGACAAAGCGGAATCGGAGGCTTGAGGACAACAGGGCTAGTCTTTGGAGCCCTGCGGAGGAGAAGGAGGAAGAGGAGGAGGAGGAGGAGGAGGAGGAGGAGGAGGGGGAGGAGGAGGAGGGGAAAAGGCAAGGCAAGGCAAGGCAGGCGCTAGGGGGTCAAAGCTTCTCTCAACTAGATCGCTTGTGAGACCCCTGCGGGGACTTATGGATTGGCCTCCTCACTGTCTGTGAGGCCTGCCACGCGACGGTGAGGCACCAAAGACGAGTTCTTGCCAGCAGGCAACCACCCCACCCCGCTCCACCCTCCCCACCCTCCACGACTCGTCGGGTGCGTCACCGTGGCGACACGGCGGCGGGGCCAGTGCCCTGCCGTACTATTTGATCAGACTGGGAGCTCTGCCACGGCCCACTGGCGCTGGGGAGCCCTGAGAGCAACATACACCTGGTGGCAAGACATCTCAGGACAGACAGAGAGCGAGAGAGGCAACGAAAAGGCGGAGCGTCGTGGAATACCCACGTCCTCAGCATCATATGGAAGATGAAATCAAAATAACCTATCCTGATGACCTTCCACCTTGTTCGCGGGACGGCAGCTGCACGGAAGCGGATGGGCGCTCGCTTGCCATGTTCCTATTGCTGGTTCATGGGGTTTTCCTAGCAATCCAGAGCTGCTGGCAGGCAAAGGAAAACCCTCTGGTGCTCACTCTCCGTCACGCGTGCTAGCCGGTCCGTCCACTCGCAATTCCTGTGTGAAATGGATCTGGTCAGGGAAAGGGGGGATCAGGACTTCATGTTCATACATCAGCTGCCGACGAGCATACTGTAATCCCATCAGGGCTGTGTCCATAATGGTGCTTTGAGTTTGCAACTGGCGAATGACTTCCTGGCGCTCGAGCATTTTCTCAACATCCATTTCGCATGGCATACTTACCCGAGCCAACTGCATATCGATCCAGCCCTTGTGCCTCATCGACTCATTTATGATGGCACGCAGCGGTGGGATCAGAGTCTGGAATATTCTTATTGTCGATCGCAGACGCTCGCTTCCCATCATAAGGCGACCCATTGGGCTGGCATACCGAACATCGCAGTGCGCCAGGTACGCAGGTAGGATCTCACTAGAATGCGGGGGCTCCGTCATTGCACAGTAAAAGAGAGGCAAACAATAAGAGGGGGCGGCTGAGCCTACAGCTGCGGCCACCTAGTCGTGCCACCATAGTACCACACAGGTTGTTCGAATCCGTTGTTGTTTGTTGGTTTCTGCTGGAGTCGGTCGTAGTCGGAGGATTGAACATCAAATTTTGGTTCCCCACGTCTTAGCGAAGAAACTGGGCATCAAATGTTGGTTCCCCTGCTTTGGGTGAGGTCTTCGGAGCTTCTATCAGGGCCCCCCCCCAGGCATCTGTAATCTCCTACGCTCTCGGTACCGCTGAGCCAATTCGTAGATCTCCCGACATCTGTCGCTGACATCAATCTTCGATCTCAAACTGTCGAGTCTCCGAGGGTCCTTACTTATGTCATTGGCAATCTTTTCAAGGTCGGAGCAAGGGGGCCAGGGAACAGGAGGAAGGCCCGAGGTCCGACTGCGAGAGAGCGTCTCGTCCTCTCTCCCTTCAAAACATTCTGCAACAGAAGAGGCAGAAGGAGCGGTACCGAGCCCTACCGTCGTGGTAAGTCGTCGTCTCTTCCTCGACGACGAGGTGAGGCTCGGGTGGTTGGTGCCCACGTCCTCGATGGGTGTGCCGCGTGGCTCTTGTCTCACCTGCGCCGCAACGTGCTCTCTACTGACCTCTCCAGCGCAGTCTTGGGGCCAAGGCCCGTCGCTTTCTTGCCGCTGATGGGCTGCAAGCCGATCGCGATGGCCGTCTTCAGCTTGGGCACCTCGTACACCTTCACTGCTTCCATGGCCTGCCCCCCTACCTCGTGCTTCGCCAATTTCGCCTGCAGGCACGGCGTCGGGTTCAAGGTGGGGGAGATCTTCCCCAGGCGTCCGCCTGCGTCCAAGTCCTCGCGCTCGTGCGTCTCCTGGACCTTGAACGCGAGGATCATCTCCTCCATGAGAATGTTGCCCTTCGAGTGATTGGTGGCCTCCACAAACACCCTGATGACCTGCTTGCTGGAGATCTCCAGAGCGCTCCCTTGTTCTCCGTCTATCTCGTCGTGGAGGGCCCTGAGCATCGCCATCGCCGCGTGCGCGTGCGGAGATCCAAGCCCGTGCTTTTTTCCTGCTGCTCGTGCCGCTTTTCCATATTCTTTGCCCGCGTCTAACCCCGCTGTGAATGGCTTGGGCGTTGCGGGCGCGAGCCAGAAGTCGCCCGTCTGGTGCATGAGATCTCGTATTTCTTGGCTGTTCTTCAAGACCAACTTGCGCAGCGCCTGGCCCCTCTGGTCGTAGTCGTCGTCGAAGAGGCCCCTGCCTGTTCAGCGCGGCGGCTCCCCGCCGTCTCCGGCTGCTGTAGGTCGCGCCTTTCTTGCGGGCCCCCCTGGCCCTGCTGCCGGTGCTCCTCCTCGCTTGTTGACTCCGATCTGCCAGGTCTCGCACAGTGAGCTCCTCGTTTGTGTGCTTTCAGGGCCTGAGGCGTAGCAAAGCATTTCCCGCATACCGACTGATTACCTTCCGTGTCTTCGCACGCGTAGTCGCACCAGAACGGTTTAGAAATGAGCTCATCCCCCTTCTCCTCGTCCACCTCCCCCCCCTGCCCGTCCCAGATTACCGTCGCATTGTGTAGGATATTTGGGTCGGTTTGTGTCCACATTTCCCACTCTTTCGTGCCGTGTCGGAGGATGTCGAGGTCGGTCTTGCGCTCTCCCCACCACTCCCTCATGCCTTCGTCCACTGCTGCTAATGCTTCTAGGTCTGCTAAATACTGCTTGGCCATTGGCGTTGATTGCTGCCCCACTCTGTCCCCCCTCTCGAGTCGTGATATTCCCGCCAATCTTTCCATCGCTGAGCTGTCAAAAATCGCTGCTACCACATTGCTGCATTCGCGAGGCTGTCGGGCCCACTGTTGGTACCACTTCAGTCGACGCATTCGCAGCGCAGTAGCTGTCCGAGGCAGTCGCCACTCCCTAAATACTCTGGCTGTGCTATAGCAGCGTGTCTCCCCATCTTCCCTAACCCACGACATTTCACCCCGTGCTAGGGTGCGCAGATACTTGCCTGTGAGGGAGTCGAGTGCATCAGTGGCGGCCTGAGGCAAGACGAAGCAGTTCAATCCGCTGAGTGCTGCGCCATGCACAAAGGCAATGAGCATCATACGTTTGATGTCGAACGCCGCCTTCGATGGCCAGAAAATCCCGCCCTGCCGCCAAGCTAGTCGCACTGCGTCGCACCTTCTGCGGATCTCTCCTCTCGTACCCTGGTCCGAGGGAATATGCGGCCCTAGTGGCCTCATCTCACGTAGTGCTGCACCTGTTAGATCTTTGGCCCTACGTATCCTGCGGGTGCGAGCGTAGCTGCCCCGTCCTTTCAAGTCCAGGGGGTGGTTGGTTTTGCCGTTGTTGAGAAACCAGCCTCCTACTTTGATGGTGTCAGTGAGCTTGGTCGTTGCTTCGTTGATCTGTGAGATGATCTCCTGTGGCGTGCTATTGTTTGGGATGGTGTGGTTTTTGTGTGTAATGTCGTCCATAAAGGTATATATAGCCAGATCGTGACGAACTCCCGTGATGGGGTGGAAGGTGTCGTGGGGCTTTTGGTTTGGGTCCTCTCTCAGTAGGTCGTTCCACTTACCCACGTAAATGTTGTAGCTGTCGTCGAATTGCCGTGGGCATAGTGTAAATCCCATTTGCGCTCCTGTTGTCGTCGCCGTCGTAACTGTACCATCTGCTGCTTCCATTTTGAGAGGCTACTCTCCTCAATCGCACCTACCGCGTGTGGTTTATCCCATTCGTCGGCCTGTTTGTACGCTACTGCCTGTAGGAGAGTCTTCTTGGTGCTGGCGAATGCGTTGCTACAATCGTAGTTAGTGTAAATGCTACTATACCCTAGCTGGCTGGCCTTCCACTTCGTAGTGTCGATAGTGGCTATTGCATTCTCTCGGCATCTAGAGGGAGGGCCTCCTTGTGCCCAGGCGTGGTGAACCAGTGGGGTTTCCTCGTCTGTGTATTCCTGAAAACCACGACATCCCCATGCTGCAATACGCGTGCATGATACGCTTGCCCTGTATTCCCTCTCGCCCGTTGGATTTCTCTGCATCGAACGCCGTCGATCTATGCCAGTCCAGTGGTGTCGTCATAGCCGTCCTACATTTGGTCAGCACATCAATGAGCCGTCGTTGCACCGTCGGATTGTTGTACCCACTCGGTTTAGCTCTTCCCAGCCCTGCTCTTTCCTCTCTTCCTGCACCATAGTTGTCGCGCAGCGCTTCTGGATCGGCCGTGATACCCTCTCTGACTCCCAGCCCTCCTCCTGTCCACCCAAGCTTCTCCAATAACTTTCTCCCTCGCTGGAATCGGAGCGCTGTGGACAAGCGGGCGGTCTCCTCCTCATCATCTCCTGCTGCTTTCGCTGCTTTCTCCTCCCACCTCCTAGTCTGCTCGCTGGGGTCGGACAATTGTGCCGTCGGGTCCAACAAGAGAAGAGTCGCTTCCACAGGTAGCCCCCGCGCCGGCCGTGCTCGCCGTTTTTTTGCCTTCCTGCAATACTTCAACATCGACCTGCGATCTCGCCCTACGCATTCCAACAGGTCGTGGTCACACGGCAATGGCATTTTGTTGGAGTGAAAGTTCTCATGCTCCTCCAGCTGCTCCTCAATGCTCATCCTGACCGCTCCTAGTCCTCCTTCTTCTGGCGGGTTAGCTAGCTCCTCCTCCCACGTGGCTTTCGTCCAATGAGTTTTTGGCGTGAAGTAATACCTTTTTTGGGGTCCTCTGCCGTTGGCCTGGTACTGGATACTCAACCTATGCATTTCCGAGAAGTCTCCTCTCTCCGACGCCTCTCATATCTCCTCCACCAACTTCGCCCTCCTCTCCCTCTCCCTCTCCTCCCTCATCTTCTTCAGGACAGCTGTGGTTTCCTGAAGCTCCACGCATTTCTGACGCGTGCCTCCTCTGGGATCTCTGGGGCCAGCGTTTCTCGGAGGGTTCTCCTGTCGGCCAGCAACTTCATCCTTCTTTCCTTGAGCCTGGCTTCTATCGGATCCTTCGTCGGTTTGCTGGCTGGGAACGTCTGTCGTAGTGCACCGCGAATGGCGTCTCCAAGCTTCGCCCAGGCTCTGTCGGGTGTTGGTGCGTCCACCAAACTTCGCCACTCCTCCTCCCCCGTTTTGCTTACTTCCTCCTCCATCTTCTTCAATAGTTCCTCTGTCCTCGTCCCTTTCCTGGGGCATTGCATAAGTGCATCCCTGTCCAGTCGCTGAGCATGCGGGAGTGGGGGGCGTGGTCGGTGGACCGCCTTCCTATTGAGAACCAGCTCCACTGGTAGATGGTCTCGTGGCCGTCGTGCTTTGATCAACTGTAGGCGCTTTCCTGCAATGTGAAGTACCACAACTCCCAAAGCACCTGTCGGAATCATCATGTGGGCGACCCTGCTCAGTCCCCCCTGTGGTCCCACGAATGTGTGCCCAATGTCGTGGTATGTCGGCACAAGCGCTAGTTCGCTATGGGAAGCTAATTTCCTAGCTGTGGTCCCGTTGTCGTTTTCAAGTACCTGCGCATACGGTCCCAGGCATTTCTCGTAGGATTTTTGCACTAATCCGTCTGGGGCTCGGTAGAGCCCTAGGTCGCTATTGATGTCTCACCCGTCCACAATCATAGCTCTAGCACCGAGACGGTCAGTAGTGTGTTCTAGCCATTCGCAAAGTCTCCTCCCTATTTCACTGTGGCAGCGAACGTGCACTGGCGCAAAGTACATGGAGAAGAGTGCGTCGTCCTGGTCCCCCACATGTAACTTAATGCCTGCTGCTCTGCCCTGTAAACCACAGGGAGGGTGGTAGATACTCCTGAACGCAGTGGGCGGGATTTTCTTGTGAACCAAGATAGAAACTCCGCATGCTTTTGTCACCATTCGTCCTTTTTTCCTCCAAATCTTAAGCGCCAGTGGTTCGGAAGGATTGTTTTTTTTGCTGGCTCTTCCCCACACCACTCATGCGTACCGTGGAGGAGGATCACGTCCCATTGGGAAAGCTCTTGGCTAATGCCGTTTAGCCTTTCTACAGACCCCGCATAAAGTGGATTATACTGAACGATTCTCATGATGGTAAGATGTGCTCCCCCCCCGCCTGGCCGAACTATGGGAGGTCAAAATCGCTTTTGGGTAGAAAGCAAGACATTCGTAAGTCGGTCATGCTCCTGCCAGCCCAAATTGCGACTGAGGGGAGAAGGAGGAGGAGGAGGCTGAGGAGGAGGAGGAGGAGGAGACGGCGGAAGCGGAGTCAAGACCTCTGCCGCGAAGGCATCCATGGACGAGCTTTGAGAGTGCCGCTGCGGGAGGTCCACTCGTCGCCAACGTAAGGAAGTCTGAAGCGAGAGCGCGATTCCTTCGTGCTGTCTGCATTCGAGAGGTGAAGCGAGGATCAAATGTTACCGAATCAGAGTGCGGCGGCAATAACACTCACGAGCTTGACCAATGGTAACGCCCGTGACACAACCATGACACGTCCGAGACTCGCGCTCGGCCGGCCTTCTGGGCTCAAGTGGCTTGGAGTTCCAACTGCTGCAAGATTGCGCCAGATGGCCCCAACATCGCCTGCCACCAAGATGATTACCGCAAGGTGACCCAAGTTGGCATAGATGGCCTCAGGGATGCCTCCAATGCGCAAAGCTCCAAGGCTCTGAGGTGCCCTCCAGCCTCCCAGGGATGTTGCGAGAAACCAACATCATAGAAGCAACACGCCCTTCAAAATCACATACATCCGGTGCCTCCCAGCAGCTGCGCCTTCCGATGGGCCTCTGCAACCTCATAGTGACCCCCGAGATGCCCCAAGAAGGTCCGAAGAGAGGCCCAGTGTCCCAAGAGGGCCTGACTACCCCCAGCAACACCCCAAGAGAGTACCACAAATGGGTCGTCTGAGCTCCGACAAACATTGGCACAATGAGGAAGGCTATCAACTGATACCAAGGATGGCTCGGGGATGCCTCCGAGAGGCTCCCGATGGATCCAACTTTCAGCAATATGATGCGGCTGCTTGGGAAGACCCCACCTTCGGTTTGACAGAGGTGTTCCCAAATCCTGTTTCCCCACTGTTCATCCGCTCGCCATCTGAGGCCAAATCCCCCCCAGGATCGTCTTTGGATGAACCGTTTGCCAGGTACTCAGGCACTAGTTGATGTTGCAAACGCTAAGGCATTTGTTCTCTTGTCAACTGTTCAATTTTCGGCCGACCCAAACGGAAAAGCAAACGATATCCCAAAACAGAATACAAAAACCAAAAGAACTGAAACCGAACCGAAAAAACCGTGCGAAGTTGACTTCCCAAACGTAGCAATGCCGATCTTGACCACGGACAGCGCCCCCAGTGTTTCTGACATCGTCCAGGCTCAGGCCCCTGGCAGTCCTGCACCACATGATTATTCTCGTGATGGTGTGCCCTTCATCTGGCTCAGGCCTGGCTCAGGGAGCCCAGGGCGACCGAGACAAGACACAGCAGTAATGCGTGTCTGTGGATCAGATGCCACACCAACTCGCGTGCGCTTCTCTCATGCAAAGCGCGCGCAGGCTTGAGGGGCAACGACAGGGGGGACCGGCTCAGAGGGGGGCCCGGATTCGGGCGATACATCGCCGATGGATTGGCGATAGGCCCGCGACGGCGCATCCACACGTCCCTGTGAGGGGTGGGGCTATCAGACCCCTATCAACGATCAGTGGGCGTTTGATGGTCGATGCATCCCCCCTGAGCCGACCCCCCCTATCGTTGCCCGTGAACGCTTGAGGAGAAGTGCAGTCATCGTACTGCCACCAGGAATGGCAGGTGAGGAGCGAAGCCCCTCTTCTCAATATACGTAATCCCCACAACTTCCCAGGAATAACCGAGCCCCGTTCTGGAGGCGCTCCCTCCTCGTCGTTGCCCTCCGTCTTGAGAACGACCGCTCCCTCTGCCGAGGGCCGAGGCGCAACGGAGCAGCTAGTGTCGGGCTGGGCGACAGGGGGGGATAGCAAAGGGGGGGTCTGAGCCTCAGCTCACGTATCTGATTTTCCCGGCGCCTCCCAGTGCCGGAGGCGGCCATGCATCGAGGAATGGGCCCCTCGGTGGGGCCGCAACCAGCTACATGCAGCACATCTCGTACCCCCCCCCTTTCCCTATCCCCCCCTGTCGTCCGGCCCGATAGTGACACAGTAAAACGACGCGAAGATCGGGACAAAATCGGATCGGGATAACTCGAAATCTCTGAGAATCGGCGGGTTTGGAGGATGTATTGGGCGCCGCGGCCGCTCCAGAGCGTTCCGGAACGCTCTGAGAGCGCTCCGGAACGCTCTGGAGCGATTTATCCCGATCCTAGCCCTGTTTTACACAGCTGCGGCACGCCAACACCAGCATGATACACTGGCGGCAAGGAGCGACAACGGCGGCCACAGGGCTACGTAAACTGCGAGCGCTGGCCGGCTCTCGGGTGACGGAACGAGCCAGCTCGTCGCCATCCTCATCCTCCTCCTCATTCTCATCCTCGTTATTCTCCTCCTCCTCCTCCTCCTCCTCCTCCTCCTCCTCCTCCTCCTCCCCCCCTCCCCCTCCCCCTCCCCCTCCCCCTCCTCCTCCTCCTCCTTCTCCTCCTCCTCCTCCTCCTCCTCCTCCTCCTCATCTTGAAACTCGCTAAAACGGGATGGTGACAGACCGTGCGGTGACCTCGAAATCCCGGAAGACCTCACCGCATGGTCTGTTACCGCAAGGCTTTGGGCCCTTGGATGCCCCAATCGTCCGAGGCATCCTAGGGGAACAACCCAAGTCCCCAAGTCCCGAAAACGTGCGGCCACCCCGAATCCCCACCGACTCACCGCACGGTGTGGTCTCCGCACCGTTCGGGGCCCCGATCTCCTTCTCCTCAGCAGCGGAGGGCCCGGCAGATTGCTGGTAAGGCCTGGTGCCAGGAACAGGTATCTTGATAGGAGCAGGGCCATCGCGCATGCCTGCGGCCAAAGGTCTCCTCGCGTTCTCCCCTCCTCTTCCTCCCTTCTTCCACCCCTTGCCTCCCGTTCCCCTCCTCCCGTCCTTCCCTCCTCCCTTCCTCCCCTCCTCCTTGCTTCTTCCTCCCCTTCTCCTCCTGTTCCTCCTCCTCCTCCTTCTTCTCCCCTCCTCCTCTCCTCCTCCTCCTCCTCCTCCTCCTCCTCCTCCTCCTCCTCCTCCTCCTCCTCCTCCTCCCCCTCCTTCTTCTCCCTGCCCCCTCCTCCCTGCCCCCTCCTCCCTCCTCCCTCATCCGCCTCCCTCCTTTACCATTCTCCCTCGTCTTCCGCCTCCCTCTTCCACCTCCCCTTGCTATCAGCCCGACCCCGGCGGGCCTGATGCTTGGCACCCTAGAACTGCTTCTCGGTGACGCCGGCACTCATGATGCCTCCCCAGCATGCTGGCGCGGCAAGGCGAGGGCAACCCGACCAGAGGCGCTGCTCTGTCTCCTCCTTCGCCAGATCAAATCCGATCCAATGCGATCCAATCCACCTGCTCCTCCTCCTCCTCCTCCTCCTTCTCCTCCTCCTCCAAATCCAGGGCGCCCTGGAGGCGAGCGGGGTGTTTCTTGGCATGGGCCTCCACTGTACGGCGAATTCGTGCCGCGCCGACTTCGGCGTCGGATCCTGACACCGCGGGGCCGTTGTGCAACCTTGAACGATCGGCCGTTCCCGAAACGTCAGATCGCTCCACACCGACCGATTCTGGGTCGATGGCCGCGTTCAACCTGGAACGCCAACGCCGGGGTGGCCGCCGGTCGACACGACGCGAACCTGCCGTTCCCCCCCCCCCCCCGCCGGACTCCCGAGCGTCGATGCGTCGCCCACCGAGCGCCCCCCTCCCTAAACGCTGCAAGCGCTGCCTCTGGCCTGCTCCTGCCCCTGCCGCCCCGTTCTGCTCCTGCCCCCCGGGCACGCCCTCTGCTCCTCCCTGCCCGTGAGGTCTCTCGCTCTCGGCAGGGGCGCCGTGCAGCCGCGGCGCACTGCGGCATCCAGGCAGAAAGGCGCCTCGCCCCAAGAGGGCGCTGCCGCGCACCCGTCCCGAGGCGCGTGCCACGGCCTCCTCCTCCGCCTCGCGCTTCCCCCCCCCCCCCCCCACCCCCGAACCCACATAGGTCACCCTGCCCTCCTCCGTACGCCGCCTCCGCTTTCAACTTTCAACCTCCGCTGCCGCCTCCACCTCCTCCTCTTGCTCCTTCTATTTCTCCTGCTCATCGTCCTCTTCTTCCTCTTCCTCCTCTCCTCCTCCTCCTCCTCCTCCTCCTCCTCCTCCTCCTCCTCCTCCCCCTCCTCCATCTCCTCCATCTCCTCCATCTCCTCCATCTCCTCCTCCTCCTCCTCCTCCTCCTCCTCCTCCTCCTCCTCCTCCTCCATCTCCCAGTCCTCCTCCTCGCCGCGGGCACGCCCAGGCGTGAGGCGTCGTCCTCGTCCCCTCCTCCTTCTTCTCGTCCTCGTGGCTGCCGCAGTCCTCCTCCGCGCCCAGGAGGGACGTATGTTATGCCTCCCCGATTACCGCTTCTACAATGGAGGCCAGCCCACAAGAACCCTTCCCTAAGAAACCCAACCCTCAGACCCCAGGGCGTCCATCGATTTTTGGTGAGGGAACGCCACGCTTTACATCGCAAAGCCATCGAAACCCAGGACACCCAAGGCACCCTGGAGGCAAGCGGTGTGTTTCTTGGCATGGGTCTCCACTGCCAGCCCCTGCGCCCCCCACCTCCGTGCGGCGTGCTCCGCCGCGGCCGGCGGGGGAGTCGCTCTCCCTGCTCCGGGAGGCGGGGCGGACCCTGCTGGCGGCCGCCGCCGCGGGGCAGGCAAGTGGGCGGTGGGGGGGCCCGCAGCGGTGCAGAGATGGGCCGTGCGGTGCCCTCGGCAGCCCGAAAGACCTCACCGCAAGGTCCGCCACTCACCGCACCATCTTGGGACCCTGGAGGCCGCAGTCGCCCGAGTGGTCCAGGGGGGCCGACTCGGCCACGACTCGGCCACCCCGAACCCCCACTGACCCACCACACGGTGTGGCCACCGCACCGTTCGGGGGCATCCGACTCGTGTCTGCCGACGCGCACGGCGCTGCGCCAGGGGGCGGCAACTGCGTCTTGCGCACCTGGCGGCTGACGGTGCCGACCTCTCTGCAGCCTGGCTGAGCACTGCGAGCCGGGTGGAGCATCGCTCGGGCGGAGGATGGGTGACCAAGACGGCCCGGCGCGTGCCCGAGGCTGTCCAATCGCGGCCCTGATGAGCAGACATCTCGTCGCCTGGGGACGCTCAAGTGATGATCGAGAAGATGCCGTGTAGTTCATCGGAAAGCTTCGCGGCGCAGGGCGTGGAGCAGTCCTCATGGCATCACGGACGCCTGCTGCGGCCAAGAAGCGCGCGGGCGGGCCAGGAAGGGGGCCCTGAGCAACGCCCTGCCGACGTAATCGGATTGTCGGTGCGGATCGCTGCCTGCGTGGTAAACTGCCCTTCGCTAGCACGCTTGCCCGACGTACCCGAACACATCCCTATGCATATCGTCCATGTTCGTGCGCTTCTGCCACTCGTGAAGGGCGGCTGGCTCCACCCGGCTAGGCGGATCTGCCACGTTCCTACTTGAAATCGTGGTCTGTCGATTTTGGCGGTGACGAATTGGATTTCCTCCTCCTCCTCCTTGTTATCATCCCCGTCGCCTTCCTCGCTCTCCCCGCTCCCGCTTCTCTTCCTCGTCCTCGGCCTCCTCCTCCCGCTTCCCTCCTCCCCTGCTTTCTCCCTCCTGCCTCTCCTTCCCTTTTCCCTCCGCTCCGTTCTCCTTCGCTCCCCTCCCCTCCGCTCCCGCGCCCTCCACCCGTCTTGTCCATCGAGCTTCGAACGGGCCCATGAGACAATATACTTGGCGGCGAGCGATGGGGGAAAAGAGAGGGAGAAGGCCTTCTCAGAAGGCGGCAGGACTGCTCAAAGCCCTCGCACCCTCTGGGAGGACTTCGTGTCTTCGGGGAAAGCTTCGAAAACCTCTCAGAAGGCCGGGGACCTCCGAACCGTCTGAGAAGGCCTTCTCCTTCTCACTTCCCCCCCCTCGCTCGCCACCGATATACAGTACTCTCTGTGAGAGTCAATGAAGCACTCCCCTTGCGGTAGGCGATTCAATCCCAGCGCCGAGTGACAACACAGGGACCCCCCTGTGGAAGACAACACGCAAAACGGCAGCGGCGGCCAACGAGGCCCCATAACTTGGTATGGAAGAAACGGGTCCTCAGGGAAACGGGTCCCGGACCCCGGGGCCCTCCCCCAGGACCAGTTCTTCCTCCTGAATCGTGTTTGATGATCCTGGGGCCCTTGGAGGGGCCGAGAGCCCGAAAACGGCGAACAACCTTAGGGTCCGTTTCCCTCACGGCCAGTTTGTTTCATGGCGAATGCTTGATGCAAGGCCCTCCTGTGGACGACGTGCCGCCGGAGATGATGTTGCCCATCTCGTCCACGATCTCGGACCCGCTCCACTTCTGGTGCGTCAGGGTCTCCACCTGTCCGCCGGAGGGCGAGGGAGAAAGGGCGATTGGAGGACACGGTGAGGAGGCGGCGATACGACAGGGAGGGAGGGACGACGGGGGACGACGATGGGGAAGAGGAGCGGGGCGGGGAGGACGAGGAACAACCCCCACCCCAAATGACGGGGTCGGGGAAGAACCAACAAACGAACGAAAGTAGTCCAGCATCAGCGTTGCAGTCTCAGCTGCTGAGCTGCTTATGCGACCCCTTGAGGCCAAGCTTCTATATGGAAAGCTTTGCCCCTGAGTCTAAGGGCAGCTCCAGAGTCCAGACGGGGCGGGAGAGAACGAGGAGACGAAAGAACAATCCCCGCCCCGAACTCGCAAGATCGCCCCGAGGGGCCCTGAGGGGCCCTGAGGGGCCGACACTGCCGACCATCCACAGCTGCAGCGTTGGCCTCATTGCAGAAGCGGCGCTTCACTCCCGCCGTCCAGAATGCCACTCTCGACCCGATGCGGGCAACATGCCTGGATCCGATTCTTCCCCCGTCGTCGTCGCCCCGCGCCTGTCCCCTCCTCCGCCTTCCCCTCGTCTTCCTGCTCCTCCCGCTCTTCCTGCGCCTGCTCCAACTCATGCTGATTCGGTTCCTCCTCATTTTTCCTGATCCTCCTCGTCTTGTCCTCCTCGTCTTGTCCTCCTCTTTGTCCTCTTCCTCCTCCTGCTCCAGAGTGTGCAGCTCCCCTGCCTGAATGCGCGACACGACGATGCTATATTATCCACGCAGACGAACAATGAAGGCAGACCAAGACGTCTGCTGCCGCTCAGGAGGGCTATCCCAATCGCGCAATCTGACGACAAACAGGCACAACGAGTGATGATGCCATACCGTCCACGAAGACGGACAAGAAAGGCAGACCAAGAAGTCCGCTGCCGCTCAGGAGGACTACCCCAATCGCGCGATCTGACGACAAACAAGCACAGCGAGCCCAACACGATGAGGTCATTCGGGGAGTGCTAGGTCTGCCGTGACACGCGTCGGGAAGAGGCGTCGGGAGGCACGGGTGGGAGGGGTTGGATGCAGATCTGGCGCGAGCGCACGTAGCTTGCCCCCACCCCTTCCCCCCTCCTTCTGTAGAACAAAAACAACGCCATACACATAAACAGTTGGCGCTCCGCGCGGATTTCTTGGATCTGCACTGGACCCCCCTCCCTGGCGCGGCGCCTCCGGGGGGGGGGGCAGCGCGGATCTCAGAAATCCGCGCGGAGCGCTCAACGTTTATGTTCGTGGTATTTTTGTTGTCCTTCGATTCCCCTCGTCCTCCCTGCCTCCCGCGGGCCCGCCCGCCTCCGCATCCTTGCTTGCTCGGCATCCCGCACCCCTCCCCTCGAAAGGGGCCCAGGGACACGCAGAGAAGCAGACACAAACATCCCAGGACTCCCAACATGCTCCCATATTGTTTTCTGGGCTTCCGCCTTTCCCCCCCCACTTCCCGTACTTTCCCATCTGTGCCTGGGGGTCGACGATTCACCGTGTCTGTGTTTATGCTGCTCCCATCCTGCGGACCACAGCCCAGAAATAATTTCGAGCACCCGGAAAAGTGTCGCAGCAGTGTCGAAGCAGTGTTGAACGAGTGTCCCACAGGGCCAAGCGCGTGAACACCCTGGAGTTTCGGCACTTTCTTGGTGCTCGGAATTCTTTCCGGTGATTCAGGCTAAAGTAGGTTGGAGCTCCTGACCCTCGTGGTTCCCCCTCCTGACCCTCCTCCTCCTCCTCCTCCTCCTCCTCCTCCTCCTCCTCCTCCTCTTCGCCCTCCTCCTCCTCCTCCGCCCTCCTCCGCCCTCCTCCTCTTCTCTCCTCCTCCTCCTCCTCCTCCTCCTCCTCCTCCTCCTCCTTGTCCTCCTCCTTGTCCTCCTCCTCCTCCTCCTCGTCCTCGTCGTCGTCCTCCTCCTCCTCCTTCTCCTCCTCCTCCTCCTGACCCTCGTGTGCCCGACCGTGGCCGGGCCACGGCCTGGGGCGCCCCCCTCCACGGCGGTGCTCCCTCGTCGGCGCCGCTGCTCCGGGAATTCCTGCGGCCGGCCCTGGGCTCAGGCCGGCGGCGACGAGAGGGGCGAAGAGCCCAGGGGCGGGCATCACACGCATTCGCCCGGGAGCCTTTCCGAAGACGTAGTTAGATCATCGGTGCACTCCTCCTCCCTCCTCCCTCCTCCTCCCTCCTCCCTCCTCCCTCCCTCCTCCTCCTCCTCCTCCTCCTCCTCCTCCTGAATACATGTATTGCTTTCCCCTGAACTCTTCGCCCCTCTCGTCGCCTCTGATTGGGTCGGGCATGTCCTCCTACCGGCGGGTTGTGGAAGCACAGCTTCAAACATAGGCAATAGATTCGCCGGCCCAACGGGCCAGAGGGGTGCTAAGATCTCCGGCAACTGGTTAACGAGATTGCTAGTTCGCGCGCGCGGGGCGGCCCCTGGGGGCCCCCAGACAAAAATCCGCCGGCCCCCTTGTGGGGCCACCAGGCTGTAGGCCCGTGATTCGCAGTTTCCTGTACCAGTTGTAGTTTGTAGTTTCCAGTGTTACAATTCTGCTTCTTGCTGGTTACTGTAACTAGTTGATTGACCGCGCGAGAGGAGGGAGGCCCAAACCAGATTTTCAGCACCACCTGGGCGCGTTGTCTGAATTGCTGGGGAGGCTCAAAATCGACACCCCTCACGCAGATCCGCGGGGTCAGGGTCCAAAAACACAGGGGATTTGCCACATTTCTGAAATTCGGTGCCACCCCTCACGCAGATCCGCGGGGTCAGGGTCCAAAAACACAGGGGATTTGCCACATTTCTGAAATTCGGTGCCACCCCTCACGCAGATCCGCGGGGTCAGGGTCCAAAAACACAGGGAATTTGCCACATTTCTGAAATTCGGTGCCACCCCTCACGCAGATCCGCGGGGTCAGGGTCCAAAAACACAGGGGATTTGCCACATTTCTGAAATTCGGTGCCACCCCTCACGCAGATCCGCGGGGTCAGGGTCCAAAAACACAGGGGATTTGCCACATTTCTGAAATTCGGTGCCACCCCTCACGCACATCCATCGCAAGGCGTGGTAACCCAAACTGCGAGTACTCCCTCGGCCCTTTAATCCCAAGGTGTGGTAACCAAGCTCGTAAACCATACACGTCTTACCAATCGCCCTGTGTGGTAACCCCTCTTGTGATCAGTTGGTTTTGCCGATTGCGAATCGGCCTCCATGAAGTTCCGATACTGCTGCACGACAGCGCCAAAGCCTCATGACTTAGCTCTTCCATGGCCCATTCTCCGAGAGAGGGGGCCGGCGGCAGGGGGCGAAGCCCTTACGGATTACCCTGGCAAGGTCCCGGTCCACTCCCGGGCGATCCCCCCAGAACGCCCCAGGGGATGGCCATTTTTCGACACTCCTCACGAGGATCGGGGCCTCGGAGGTGTGAGCCGCAATCGACTACCTCGCCCTCCCGCCCCAAGAGGCTCCCAAGAGCCCCCCAGGAGGCCCCAGGGGCCCCCAAGACGCCACCAAGGAGCCCAAGAGGCCACCAAGAGGCCCCAAAGAGCGCTCCAGGGCCGGCAGAATGAGCAAAGCGACTCAATCACTAAATATGGTCAACAATAATCAAAACATCGTCTCCCGACAATTGATCTTATTAGTCTTGAATATTCCTCCCGTGCTTGACTGTAACCTGGGCCAGAAGCGCATGCCTCAAGCACATGGGACCCTCCGTCGGCCAAAACAGGCATAACATCCAAGGGGAACCCTCCCCAGGAGGCACAATAACGTCCAACAAGCACGAGGAACCTCAGGGTAACCTCGGAGGAGGAGAAGGAAAACAGGGAGGAGGAGAGGGAGGAGGAGGAGGAGAAGGACGAGGAGGAGGAGGGGGAGGAGGAGGAGAGGAGGAGGAGGAAGAGGAGGAGGCGAAGGAGGAAGAGGAGGAGGAGGCGAAGGAAGAGGAGGAGGAGGAAGAGGAGAAGGAGGAGGAGGAGTCGTCTGCTGCCCGCCCACCCCACCGCGCCTTGTGCTCGCGCTCCTGCCGCTGGATCATCTGCACGTAGGCCGCCGCCCCCTTCGTGGCGTAGGACCGCGCGAACAGGTCGATGCTGAGGGCATCGCAGTGAAAGCCTGCCCCCCCACCTTCCGCCGCCTCCTCCTCCTCCTTGTTCTCCAGAGGTCCCTCCTCCTCCTCCTCCTCCTCCTCCTCCTCCTCCACGCAGGAGGCCTCCGGAGGCCGAACAAAAAGGCAGAACCGCTGGACGGTATCGGTCTTTTTCCTCCTCCTCCTCCTCCTCCTCCTCCTCCTTATCCCCCTCCTCCTCCTCCTCCTCCTCCTCCTCCTCCTCCTCCTCCTCCGCCTCCTCCTCCCCCACCTCCTCCCCCACCTCCTCCTCCTCCACCTCCTCCTCCTCCTCCTCCTCCTCCTCCTTGCTCCCCAGAGGTCCCCACGAGACAGCCGGAGATCGCTGGCTGTCCCCAGGAGCCTCCACGGAGGAGGCCTCCGGAGGCCGAACAAAAAGGCAGAAGCGCTGGACGGTATCGGTCTTTTCTTCTTCCTCCTCCTCCTCCCCCTCCTCCTCCTCCTCCTCCTCCTCCTCCTCCTCCTCCTCCTCCTCCTCCTCCTGCTCCTCCCCCTCCTGGTCCTCGTCCTCCTCCTCGTCCTCCTCCTCGTCCTCCCCTCCTCCCTCCTCCTCCTCCTCCTCCTCCTCCTCCTTCCTCCTCCCCTCCTCCTCCCCCCTCCTCCTCCTCCTCCTCCTCCTCCCTCCTCCTCCTCCTCCTCCTCCTCCTCCTCCTCCTCCTCCTCCTCGCCCCCTCCTCCCCCCCTCCTCTCCTCCTCCTCCTCCTCCTCCTCCTCCTCCTGCTCCTCCTCATCCTCCTCCTCCTCCGCCTCCTCCTCCTCCTCCTCCTCCTCCTCCTCCTCCTACTCGTTTTCCTCTCGGACAAACGCTAACGTGGTGGATCTGTGGATCTGGCGCGTGGGCGCCAGATCCACACATCGCGGAAGGCACCCCCGCAACATAAAGCCGCTGCCGCCTGATTTGGCGACGGAGCGCGCCGATCCTACCTGGAAGCGGGGCCCATTGATTATCTGTTTACGCTTCCTCGATAGCACGAGGAGGACCACCCAGAAACTGGGCCAGCGCGGATTCGTGGACGACGGTCGGTGTCAACAGTAACCTCTCCGCCTTGGGGGGCGCCTGTCCTGGGGCGGCTGGAAAGTCTATATCCCCGCGGAGGCACGCAGGGGTACACAATGTGCAACTCTCCCGCCGCCCTGGGGCAGGCGCGCCCCCCCCTGGCGGGGAAGCTTGTCCTACTAGACGAAGAGCAGGAGCGAAGGCTGAGAGCGCTTGCAAGGTTTTCGGGGATCTGCTGACTCGGGTCAGTCCAGACCTGGGTCCGTCCGGCTTTGCAGGACCCTGCAAGATCCTGCCAGACCCTGCAGGATCCTCCATACCCAAGCCCGGGTCAGTGCACCACTGGCCCTGCAGGATCCTGCAAGACCCGGCGCTCTGACTGACCCGACCCGATTTGCTTTGACCCCAGGATGAGGGAGGGAGGGAGGCGGAGGGAGGAAGGGGAGGAGGAGGGGGAGGATGAGCAGGAGGAGCAGGATAATGAGAAGGAGGAGGAGGAGGAGGAGGAGGAGAGGGGGAGGAGGAGGAGGAGGAGGAGGAGGAGGAGGAGGAGGAGGAGGAGGGGGAGGAGGAAGAGGAGGAGCAGGAGGAGTAGGAGGAGGGGGAGGAGGAAGAGGAGGAGGAGGAGGAGGAGGAGGAGGAGGAGGGCAAGGCCCACGAAATGTAGTAGGACATCGCTGGTTTCTGGGCGGTCCTCCCCCTGCCCCAGCCCCCCCTCGGCGGTGGGGGGACGGAACATCCGCCGGGACGGAACATCCGCGCCTTGGCCGAATATCGACCCTTTATTAAAACGTGGTTTAGTGAAAACGATCTCGGGCCCAAACCTGGCGGGCGCAAGCCTGTAAAATGACGGCCATGGCCCCCTCACGAGTACCGAAAACGGACAATTCACGAATCGACGTGTCAGGGTGGGGTTCTGTCCCCCCCCGATATATTAGGTCGGACATGTTCTCCCACAGGCGGAAGTTGGAAGAACAATGAATAACTGTCAACAAGAAAACGTGGTAGAAAAATCGTCCCCAAACTAGTTCTTGACTATTCTTGAATTTTCCTCATGTAAAAGGACATACCCGACGTAAGTCTAATACCTTTAATGCTCAGTCCTCAGACGAAGAGAAGACTCGGGCCAGGACGAGGATTCATCGGGTGAGGATCTATCGAGAATCTCTAAGAGCCACCGGCTTTGGAGGGTACATCGGGCGCCGCGGCCTTCTCAGAGCGTTCCAGAACGCTCTAAGAGCGTTTCGGAACGCTCTGGAACGGACTTATCCTCGTCCTAGCCCCGCCCGGCACCGTGCCCTGAGGCACGAGAGTGTCCTCAGCTCCTTGGCCTAATACCTTTAAGCCTCAGTCCTCCATACAGTCCAGAGCGCTCTTTCAAAGGCCTGGGCCCCAAAGTCACAAATCTCCTGGGGCTTGGCGCGGCTTCTCGCGCAACTTTTTCCAGTCCCAAAAGGGCCCCAAGATGGGCCAAGAAGGTCCCTAAGAGGCTTCCATGACGGTCCAAGGTGGCCCCGAATCGCCGCACGATCGGTCCATGACGCCCAAGATGGCCTCAAGACGGCGCAAGAATCTTTCGAGGCGCCCAAAGAGAGCTCCAAGAGCCATGCCAAGAGGGCCACGAGAGGCAAAAATCATTGATTTGCGGCAGGTTTTTCAATGTCTTCGAGGCCCTCGACTTTTCGAGCTTCCGACGCTCCAAGACTGTCCAAAAGGCAGAAAATATCGCCCCAAAGACGGCCCCCAAGACGGCGGCCAAAAGGGCTCCAAGACGGCCCCAGAGGCGACCAAGACGGCCCAAAGACATCCCCAAGACGGGCCCAAACGGGGAAACCCCAACTGGAAATCCCAGTCTTCCGCTCCAAAAGGCCCGGAGGAGGCCTAAACGAGGCCTAAAGGAGGCCTCTCAGAGGCCCCTCAGAGGCTCCGCCCGAGAGGCCTCCAAGAGGCCTCCAAGACGCCCCCAGAGGCTCCAAAACTGCCCCCAAGAGGCCTCAAAACGGCCCCCAAGAGGCCTCAAAACGGCACCCAAGAGGCCTCTCACGACATCCCAGCGAACATCCTAGAGGCCTATGATCCACAACCGCGGCACGGTGGCGGGATGGGACGAAAGCTATCAGATCCGCCGCCCCCCGTGGCTTGCCACAGGGGAGCACGGCGTGCCACATGTCTGGCAAGCGTCTGGTTCTTTTCTGATGAACTGCCCGTGGGGCTTCGGCCCAGCCCGCTGGCCAACTTTGCTAGATCCGAATCTTGCTTCATTGTGCCCCCCCCTCATTTCCCCTCCTCCGCCTTCCCCTGGTCCTCTTGTTCCTCCCGCTCCTTCTACTTTATTTCCTGCTGCTGCTGCTGCTGCTGCTGCTGCTGCTTTTCGTCTCGCTCCAGCGCCGCCACTTTTATGAATCCGAGTCTTTCTCCCTCGTTGTCGCCGCCCTCATTTCCCCTCCTCCGCCTTCCCCTGGTCCTCCTCTTCCTCCCGATCCTTCTGCTATTTTTCCTGCTGATGCTATTCGTCCTCTTCCTTTTCCTCTCGCTCATTCTCCTGCTCACCCGCCACCTCTTCCTCCTGTGCACGCAACCCCTCTTTTTTTCCAATTGCGCACAACATGAAATGGTCTACCTGTGGGAATCGCCGCTCGGCTATGACACGCGTCTGCGGATGTACAACAGTCAGCGCAATGGGAAGGGATGAGAGGGAGATAGGATGTCAGATGAGTCGCGAACGCACCTAGCTTGGCTCTCCTCCCTTCTCCTTCCTCCTTCCCTCCTTCCTCCTCCTCCTCCTCCTCCTCCTCCTCCTCCTCCTCCTCCTCCTCCTCCTCCCCCTCCTCCTCCTCCTCCTCCTCCTCCTCCTCCTCCCCCTCCTCCCTCGCGCTCCCGTGGGGAGCAGAGGGGGCAAGAGGGGCTGCCGCCGCGAGACGCGGGCCTGCCAGGGTGATGAACTGCCAGCAGAAGCCGAGCTTGGCGAGGTCCCAGATGAACGACTCCATCTGAGCGGCGACAAGGAAGAGGACGCGGGGAGGTTCGGCGGTGGACAAACCTCCCTGTAGTAAGCCTCCCCTTAGTAGGGGGGAAACAAAAACCTACCTCGCTTTTGACCACCCTCGCTTCCAAGAGGTACCAAGCGATGCCAAACTACGGCCTGTACTGGTCAGGTCGCTTGACGAGGAGGCGCGTGGTATGGCTTGGTCTTGCCTGGAAACGAAAGCGGGGTAAATAATTCACGCTCTGATTTAGTGAAAACGGCCTGGGACCGAAACCGACGGACCTGGACCCGCAGAAATGACGGCCGCGACGCCCTCCCGCGAACCGAAAACGGCCAATTCCTCAATCAACGTGTCAGGTTAGGAGGTCTGTCCACCCCCGAAAGGTGAGGGGCAGCCATCCTGTAATCAATCAATACTCGGACCTTCACGAGCGGCGAACACAGCAATATCCGCACCCTCGCGGTCGGGATTCCGGAGCGCGATCCCGCGGATACGCGGTCGCTACTTGTGAGGATGTCTCAAGCGAGAGCCAAGCTCTAGAAGGCACGTCGAATTTGGGAGCTCAGTGAACATCGATTTCCTTTTTCTGCGGATGTCTGCAGCGAAAACAACACGATGGAAGATTTCCAACGACCGATCTCAACATTTCAATTCTCTGAGGACGTCTTGAAGTTTTTTTTTGCCCGGACAGAACACCTGGGCGACACAACCCGAAGGGAGGTGCCCAAGGTGCCTGCATGAATTCACATGCAGTCGGACCTCGCAACACGAACGGCGGCACGGACCCGCCCCAGGCGTTATCCGCGCCGCCGTTGCGAGGTGCCTCGAGATGCCACCCCGAGACACGGCCACCGGCACCACCCCCACTTGGCCGCCGGCCTCAAGCAGCGGAGGCCCCGCTGCCCAAGGACTAAAGTTCCCGCGCGCCCCACGTCGGAGGACCCCTTCGAGTAACCCCATCGGGCCTCTCAGGGGTGGTACGGCGGGCCCGCACCTACTGTGGCTGGCCAACCACAGGGCAAGAGTCTCTCCCACAGCCCCGTCGAGCTGTGGTGACGATCGGGCTGCCAACCCGCCTGTTTTCCTGGGACGCCACGAGGGCACCCAGCGGCACAGGTGCCAGGACGTCTTGAAGCGACACCTCCACTGTTGAGAATACACGTCGTAATATAACAGTCCAACATGTTGGACATCTGACGCCTGATCTCCAACATCTCAATTTCCTGATGATGTCTTAAGCAGAATCTTCGCTTTGTAAGTCCAGCGTCGACACCAACTGCTCCAACATCACCATGTTGTGAGGATGTCTCAGGCGAAACGCACACCCAACACCATGTTGGATATCCGATGCCCCTGGGGACACATGAAAACACGTGCCCGCGCGCACGCCCCCCTTCGCGCACGTATCGCACGCTTGAAGAATCCGGCGCGAGCAAACACGTGCCCAATTCCGACACCGCCTGCTCGACACTTTTCCGGTACCGGGGCAAAGGCCCGCACACGAAAAGAGAACCCTGGGCCTGAGCCCTTGCCGGGACAAACGCCCCGCATCCGCGGGGTCGCGGCCCGGGCAAGGTCCGCGAGGCCGCGGCTACGGATATGCTTTTCCGCCCACGAGACGAGGAGGGTGATGGGGGAGGGAGAGAAAAGCGGGGAAGCCATCCTGCCATCCATAGTTACTCGAACCTGGCGCACACGAGTCCTGCCAGGGACGACGCGTCGGCGTGGGCGGCGAAAGAAAAAAGAGCGCGACGGAAGGTCCTCGGGCACTTTTCGGCCTCTCGGGGGCCCTGCTCCAGCCTTGATGTAAGATGGCCAGAGGCAGCTAACATGACACCATCAGGTGCGCCTAGGTGCATGACGAGCGCCGAGGGAAGAGGCATAGAGGATCAGTTCGTGGAGGGCGGATGGAACGAGGGAGGGGAGGGGAAGGAGGGCAAGAGAAGAGGAGAAAAGGAGGATTGGGACGGGGAGGGGGGCCGGCAACCCTTCCAGCGCCTCGATGCGAACAACTACTGGAAACACAGGAACGCTGATATGCGTCACGCGCTCCGAGCCAAATTTGATGCCGATGGTGTCGGCGCCCTCCGATCGACCCCCACTGATACAACAACCTCCCGAAGAAAAGTAGGCAAACCCTCGCACAGAGAAGCGGCCGCCTGGGCATCCGTCATGCCTGGGCGCGCGGCTGTTTCGCGTTCGTGCGCAGCTGGTGAAAGCAAACTCACGCTCAGACCGCTCCCCTCTTCTCTCTTTTCCGCCTTCCCTCGAACGGAAACTCATCGAACTTGTAGGCATTTCCACACCCGGAAACGATCTGGTGCACGTGGGCGCTCAGGCGCCTTTTTTTCTCCAATGGCATGGGTACTCTTCTGGCCACGATCCTTCTACGCCTCCTCTTTCCTGTCTCTGACCTTGCTGTCCTCCCGCTCCTCGGCCGCATCGTCCGTCTCGTCCGTATCCCTCCTCGTCGTGCTGCTCCTCCTCATTCCGCATTTACATTTCATTCTCCACCCATATGTTCTTTGATCCTCGCGCTCAATTTCGTGCCGTGGGGGATTATGGAAATTGCCCTTGTGGTCCAGGGGACACTGGAGGGAGAACGAGGAGGAGGACGGAGTGCTCAGCAAGCCAGGGTGGGAGTGGTAACATGTTGACGAAAGTTCTGCCTGGTCATGGGCATTCTGCGCGGGGTGGGCTACTCTTGCCCGTAGTCTGCCCACAACCTGCTCATAACCAGCACTCCCACTAACATTGACTCCGAAAACAAATGCATGACACGTCTGCCAATGAAAACATATACTGAATGTCAGTGGCAAGATCACACTGCGAAGACAAACCAAATCAGGCGGATTCACGCCTACAGAAACTACTGCGCACATCAAAACACATGTACGCTAACGTACACTGCGCTAGAATTATCTCGGTTTGGTTCTCCATGATTGAGCCTGCGCCAGCTGCCACCTTGTACACCTATATCGCACCCTACCTAAATATCTCTCGTTTTTTTCTTGTTTGTTCTCTCTTTCTCTCTCTCTCTCTCTCTTTTTTTTGTCTCTCTCTCTCTCTCTCTGAATTCCCCAAACACTGCTTGCACTGAGGGGCTCTTACTTGTGTTCTAGAGTAACTGGGCCCCGGTGTCGGTCAGGCCGGCTCTCGCCGCCGTCGGCGCCCGTCGCCGCCGTAGCCGCTGCGCCACGGTGTCGGTCCGGCCGGCTCTTGGCTGCCCGTCGCCGTCCGTCGTCGCCGCTGGGCCCCAGTGGCGGTCTGTCTGGCTTATCGCCGCCTGTCGGCGCGTTCGTTTGCAATGCAATCGGATTGCATTGCTTTGCTTTACTTTGCTTCGCATTGTTTTGCATTGCATTGCAGTGCGCTGCGTTGCGGTACGTTGTTTTGCTTTGCTTTGCATCTCTTTGCGTTCTCTTTGCGTTGCAATGCTTTGCATTGCCTTGTGTTGCAATGCTTTGTAATGCTTTTCATCCGATCCTCATATCCTGAACAATTAAGTATGCCATCCTCCTCCTCCTCCTCCTCCTCCCTCCCTCTCCTCCTCCTCCTCCTCCTGCGCCAATGGACCGCACTGCGTAACTCTTTAACTACAGGGCAACCATGGGACAAACGCACAGGACAGCGGTGGGCAAACCACCGGAGAACCGCACGGGACGACACGCACGACTCCAGCCAAAACAATTTGTCGGGTCTGTTTCGAGTCGTTCTGACCCCCCAGAGTCCGATCTTGAAGATTAGGCGACGCTCGTATTCCCATCTGCACGCAATCTAGGACGCAGCAGAAGGCTTCCCAGGTTGTCGAGGGGCCCTCGCACCAAGGAGGATGAGAAAGGAAGAGGACCCCTCCGATGTGGTGAGCTTTGACACAAGTTTCGTGAGGAATCGAACATTGCCGACAAGAAGAATCCCGAAAACTAGGAACACTGCCGAGCACACAACCAAAAGACTCGATCCTCGATCCCCCCTCCTCCCCCCCTCTCGTCGCTGTCGCCGTCGTCGCAACCGTCGCAGTCGCCCTCGCCGTCGTCGACGTCGTCGAGGATCGGGGCCGCGACGGTGAGAGACAACGGTGCTGGGAGACCAGCCGAGGGGGGCCAGCATCAACCTGGCATCGGCGATGCGTCGCCGATGGATCGGCGACAGGGCGCCGAAAGGCAATCCACACGCTTCTGCGGGGGTGGGCTACCGGGACCCTCTCGGCGATGAGTGGGCGATCGGGGGTCGATGCGTTCCCCCCTCATGCTGCCCCCCGGCCTTTGGCTCTCGGGTTCCTCCTCCTCCTCCTCCTCCTCCTCCTCCTCCTTCTCCTCCTCCTCCTCCTCCTCCTCCTCCTCCTCCTCTTCCTCCTCCTCCTCCTGCCTCGACTCTCCCACGCCCGTTCGGGGCGATCCGGGCACCCCCGGACGACCCATCGGGGAGGCGCAGCCGCGGGACGCACCCCGAAGCCGGAGCACCCCCCAGAGCCGCCGCAACCGCGCGAAGCACCGCAACCTCAACGCCTCGAGGGGGCGCCGATGCGCTCCCCGCGAGCTCGTCCCCCCAGACGTTGCCCCTGAGCGACGGGGGCCACGGCCCGCGCCTGCAGTGTCCCAGTTGAAGGACGGGCTGAGGTTGTAGGCGAGCATCTGGTGGGGCACGGCGGCCCTCACCTGGGCGAGGGCGGGGGAGGAGGAGGAAGCCGAAGACGAGGGCGAAGAGGACGAGGAGGAGGACAACGAGGAGGAGGAGGAGGAGGATGAGGAGGAGGGGGAGTGAAGGATGTCAAGGAGGAGGAGGAGGAGGAGGAGGAGGAGGAGGAGAAGGAGGAGGACGAGGACGGGGAAGAGGAGGAGGAGGAGTAGGAGGGGGAGGAGGAGGAGGAGAACGAGGAGGAAGGGGAGAAGGAGGAGGAGGCGGAAGAGAGAAGGAGGACGACGACGAGTTCCCTCGTCCTCCGCGAGTACGGGGGCACGGCGCCCCTGACCAGAGGGAGACTCGGCTGCACGAGGAGCGCCTGCAGGTCGGAGTGGCCCCCCGATGGGCGCCCGAGGGCAGCGCCAAGGGCGAGCGGCGCGCACGAACCGCCGCCGCTGTCGTCGTCGTCGTCCTCCTCCTCCTCGTCGTCGTCCTCGTCCTCGTCCTCGTCCTCGTCCTCGTCGTCGTCGTCGTCGTCGTCGTCGTCGTCGTCGTCGTCGTCGTCGTCGTCGTGGTCGTGTCGTCGCGGCGTGCGCATGGTCGGGGTGCGCTTGCTCTTCGACGCCGCCGCGCTGTCGTGGCCCCCTCCCCCTGTGCGCCTGGGAGCGCGGGCGGGCGGGGGGAAGGCCGGCGGCATGCTGGGGCGGGTGAACCTCAGAGGGGGAGGACGAGGAGGAGGAGGAGGGGGAGGAGGAGGAGGAGGAGGAGGAAGAGGAGGAGGAGGAGGAGGAGGAGGAGGAGGAGGAGGAGACGATGACCGTGAGGAGGCCCACGTCCCCCTCGCGCCGCGAAGAACGTGCGACAACACGTGCTTCGTCTTCGCTGCAATTCTGCGACGCCCGAGGGCCGCTCCCTGGCCCTGGGGCCCTTCTCGCTGAAAAACTCTGGAGTCCCGAAACGGTGCGGTGACAGACCGTGCGGTGACCTCGAAATTCCCCAAGACCTCACCGCACGGTCCGTCAACGCACGCTCTTGGGACCTCGGATGCCCCAGTCGTCCGAGCCGTCCTCGGAGCACGACCCGAGCCCCAAAGCCGTGCGGTGACCCCCAATCCCCACCGACTCACCGCACGGTGTGGTCACCACCCCGTTTGGGAGCCCCCGAAAAACACTTGAGCCTGGGATCAGAGGCCAGCCCTGGGGAGGAGGACGAGGAGGAGGAGGAGGAGGACAACGAGGAGGAGGAGGAGGGGGAGGAGGAGGAGGAGGAGGAGGAGGAGTAGGAGGGGGAGGAGGAGGCCGCCGGTTGTTCCGCTGGAGGATGTGCCCCGCGCCCCCTCCGCTACCACCTCTCCTCCCCTCTCCTCCTCCTCCTCCTCCTCCTCCTCCTCCTCCTCCTTCCTCCTCCTCCTCTGCCTCGCTTTCCTCCCCTTCCTCCTCTCTGTCCTCCTCCCTCCCCCTCCTCCTCCTCCTCCTCTCTTCCTCCTCCGCCTCCCCCTTCCTCCTTCCTCCTTCCTCCTCCCCCGTCCTCCTCCTCCTCCTCCATCCTCCTCCTCCCCCCTCCTCCTCCTCCTCCTCCCCCTCCCCCTTACCTCCTCCTCCTCCTCCTCCTCCTCCCCTCTCCTCCTCCTCTCCTCCTCCTCCTCCTCCTCCTCCTCCTTCCTCCTCTCTCCTCCTCTCTCCTCCTCCTCCTCCTCCTCTCCTTCCTCCTCTCCTCCTCCTCCTCCTCCTCCTCCTCCTCCTCCTCTCCTCCTCCTCCTCCTCATCCTCCTCCTCTCTCCTCCTCCGCCTCCTCCTCCTCCTCCTCCTCCTCCTCCTCCTCCTCCTCCTGCCCCGAGGGGGCCCCTCCCGTAGGGGAGGGGTCGGGACCCCAGGGTCCTCCTGGCGCAGGCGGGGAGCGCCGGGCCCGAGGGGCGAAAATCCCCCGCACCCCGGGGGACGCCGCCAAAGTGCGGTTTCCTTCCCCCGGGGGGGTCGCCAGGCCCCGTGTGCTTCCCCAGGGCGGTGCTGGGTCCCCCCCAGCACTCGCCGCCCTGGGGCGGGGCTGGCGGCTCGTCTCCGTCGTGTCGCTCGTCCGTCTCGTGTCGTTCGTGTCGCGTCGTTCGTTTCGTCCCCCTGTCGTGTCGCGTCGTGTCGTGGTCCCGGGGCCGTAAAACGCGGCCACCCATGGAGTGGGTGGTGGGTAGGGTTGGCGCTGAGCACGGCTCGCGCCCCCACCCCGACCAGGGAGCGCGGAGCACGGTCTCCCAGCGCTCCCTGGTCGCGCTTAGGTCGCGCCACGGGGGCATGGCCCCGACGGTGGCGCGGCCTGCGCCGTTTTTGGTGCATCTCGCTGGCACTCGCCATGCCAGCGGAGTCATGTGGCTGTTCATGGGTCGACCATTATAAAAAAAAAAATCCTCCTCCTCCTCCTCCTCCTCCTCCTCCTCCTCCTCCTCCTCTCCTCTCCTCTCCTCCTCCTCCTCCTCCTCCTCTCCTCCTCCTCCCTCCTCCTCCTCCTCCTCCTCCTCCTCCTCCTCCTCCTCCTCCTCCTCCTCCCCCTCCCTCCTCCTCCTCCTCCTCTCTCTCCTCCTCCTCCTCCCTCCTCCTCCTCTCCTCCTCCTCCTCCTCCTCCTCCTCCTCCCCCCCCTCCTCCTCCTCCAGGCTGGTGCGAGGTGCCGCCACACGACCGTCGTGGAGCAGGAGAGGCCGAGGGCCGCCTCCAGCGCCCCCCTGCGGCGGTCGCCGCGGCGGCAGCGGAGGAGGGATGCTCCTAGCAGGCTCGCCACCAAGCGGGGGGCGCCACACCGCGGCCCGCGCGGGACGCCACGCCGGGCGCGCGTGCCCAGGGCCGCGGCCGCCCGCGCGCTCCTCGCAGTGCGGGCTCTCTACGCCGGAGGAGGAGGAGGAGGAGGAGGAGGAGGAGGAGGAGGAGGAGGAGGAGGAGGAGGAGCCCCGCATGCCCCCTCCGCGGCCGCCCTGTCTGCTCCTCCTCTTGCCCAGTGTCGGGTCGGGCATGTCCTCCTACGGGCGGACCCTGGAAGAAAACATGGGAAAGAGCCAAGCCATGTCCCAAAGCAGCCAAACGGATTATAGAAAGCTCGCCCCCAGACTACCTGTCGGCTGCTTCTGGATTGATTCCTCCTGTCGAGGGACACGCCCGACTTCAGCCAGGTGTGCCCTGCAGCCCGCCCGCGTCGGTGCTCGCCCGCGCGGCCCGCTGACCCTCGCCCGCGCGGGGGCTCGCCCTCGCCGCGGACCACCCCCCCGAACCAGGCGCCCGGAGGCCGCCCGCGCTGGGCGCTGCGCTCTCGGAAACGCGCAGGAGCGACCCCCAGGCAAGAGTGACCTCTGGTGCGCGGCTCTGGGGGGAGGAGGGGGGGGAGGAGGGGGAGGAGGAGGGGGAGGGGGGGGAGGAGGGGGAGGAGGAGGGGGGAGGAGGAGGAGGAGGAGGAGGAGGAGGAGGAGGAGGAGGAGAAGGAGGAGGAGGAGGAGGCGCCCAAGATGCCCCAAGACGGCCCAAGAGGCCCCAAAGAAGCCCAAAGAGCGCACCAAGAGGAGCCCCAAGAGGGCCCGCAGAGGCACACAGCATGGATTTTCCTTTTGTTGTTCGATGTCTTTCGCGTTCTCGCGTTTTCGAGCTTCCGACGCTTCAAGACCAAGATGGCCCCAGAGGCCCGCAAGACCGCCCCAAGAAAGCCAGAGAGGCACCCAAGAGGGCCCCAAGAGGGCCCCAACACGGCCCAAAAGGCACCCAAGAGGGCCCCAAGACGGCCCCAAGAGAGGTTCAAAAGGGGGAACACAAACAGACAATTCGAGCCTTCCGCCCCACGAGGCCCCCAGGAGGCCCCAAGAGGCCCCAAGAGGCCCCCGAGAGAGCCCAAGAGGCCCGCCCCCTAGTGGCCCCACGAGTCTCCCAAGAGGCCCCAAAAGAAGCCACAAGAGGCCCCCAAACGTCACCCAGGAGGCCCCACAACTGCCTCCAAAAGACCGCCGAGAGGCCTCCCACGATATCCAGACGAACATCCAACAGGCCTCTAACCCACAACCCAGGCATGGCGGCGGGATGGGCCGACTACCACTAGATAAGAACCAGAAAGAGACGACACGATATGCAAGCTAATATACATAAGACGCCAATCAATATTGATATTGACATCCACAAGTGTTAGACCAACACTAATCATATCAAACTATTAGTGGTGACGCTACTCATAACAAAACGAATGCGAATGCGAATACTACGAACATTAAACGTCAGACGGCTAATTATACTAAGACTGATACCAACAATACGAAGAGAAACATGAGGAGCAACAGAAACATGAGGAGGAGGACCAGCAAGTTCCATGAGGCGTGGTGGGTGATCGAATTCGGGGGGGTGAGGACGCGTCAGGGCGGTGGAGGAGGAGGGAGCCCTCCTCCCCCTCATCGTCATCGCCGGGGCCGTCATCGCTGTTATCGTGGGGCCAGAGCAAAGCCGAGGGATCCAGCCTCCGTGGCGAACTGCTGCGCCTGCGCGAGGATGGGCTTGCCCGTCTCCATCCAGATGCAGTCGGCGTAGGGAGCGAACGCGATGGCGCGCTGGGGTTTGGGTGGGGGGCGGAGGGGGCAGGTGAGGGTGGGAACCGTATACCACAACGGGTGAGGGTTCGGATGCAGAGAAGCAGAGCTCCTGGCGAAAAGAAGGGGATCCATCTGTGTACGTGCTGCACGTGTATGGCTGCACATGTGTGTAGACATCGTATAGTCATCTGCATCTATATCTCTCTCGCTGCATATATATATGTATGTTTGTGTGTATGCATGTATGTATGTATGCATGTATACCTGTATGCATTTATGTATGCATGTATGCCTGTCTGTCTGTCTGTCTCTCTGTCTGTATGTATGCTTACAAACACAACCATATATATATATATATACGTGTGGTGAGTGTGTTTAGGGCGCAGGCGTCGTTTTCAAGCTTTTCCTCTGGCAACGCTGATCGACGCCCCCCTCCGAGGCTCTCAGAGTCCCACAAAAGGTCTCATGGGCCCTCAGTGGCTCTCGGAAGCCATCGAAGGCTCTTCGAAGGTTTCGGTGACCTTCAGAGGTTTTCAGATAGCTCGCACAAGCTCTCATGGGCCTTCAGAAGCTCTCAGAAGATCACAGAAGCTCACAGAGGCTTTCAGGGTATCTCAGAAGGTCTCAGGAGCTGTCAGCAGCTCTCCGAGGCTCTCAGAGTCTAGCAGAAGCTCTCAGGCTCTCAGAGGCTCTCATCTGCGCTGAAGCCCAGAGGAACGTTGAGAGGCAATTCCTGGGCCTTCGTGGGAACGATGTGCCCTGGAGCCCGACCAGCGGGCGAATCACCAAGCTGGACCAGCACATCCAAACATTAGGCCGAACATGATGCCAAATTCGTCGGGATTGAACGGGGGTCAGGCCAGACTGTCAGACTAGGCTAAACATGGACCGAGAATATACAAGAGCCGATAGCTGAATCCAACCTGACGGATGAAGAGGAGAGGAAGGAAAACGGAAGCGCACAGCTGGAGGAAGAATCTGTCGAATGCATGTTGGCTTCTGCGAGGAAGGCGCACGTGGCCCGCCCGTGCGCTGCAGGCATAGGTTGTCAATGATACATCGATAAGGGCTCTTATTTGAGGGCAGACGGACAGACACAGAAACCGCCCACGGAGACAACTACATAAAAAACCGACGGAACCCACAACGAAACCGACACCGACAGACCGCACTGAACCGGCCGAGCCCGGAGGAACAACAAAACTGCACAAACAGAAACGTACGGTCCGCGCATAAGCAGACGACGGGCTCCAGCGCCGATCCGAGCAATCCGCGCGGACCTCGGCGGAAAGCAGATGCTAGAGGCCTCTAGATGGGGTCGGAGCAGAGGGGGTCGGAGGATCGCGCCGCATCGCCGATACATCGGCGATGAATCAGTGATGCATCGGCGATGCATCGGCGATGCACCAGCGATGCGTCGTCCACGTGGGCGATGCATCGGCGACGTCGACGTGAAGCAAATCGGGCTCCACATCGAGCCGCATCGCCGATGCACCACCGATGCGGCGCGATCCTCCGACCCCACGTGAACCGACCCCATCTAGGAAGCCTCAAGATTCTCAGCCGACCGAGCCTAACCGACTGCGACGCAGCCGAGCCGAGCCGCAGCCGTGGACACCCCCGAGGGCGTGCCTTAAGAGCGGCGGAGGCCAGCTTCCCTCCCCCGCGGGGGCCGCGCGGGCAGCCGGGCCAGCAGCGCGGTGCCACCGGGGGTGGGGTGGAGTTTGGGGCGTCCGAGAAGGGCGGTGTCCAAGAGAGGGGCTCGCAGGTCATATGGTGCGCCCGCACAGTAAGGATGGGGCAGCCTTCCCGAGGGTACCCTGGCATCCTTACCCCTTCGGCTCATCCTTGGCGACTTTCGCTGGCCAGCCTCCTTCGAAAAACATCCTCATGGGCCTCCAAGGCCCCTCGCATCCTTACCGCGCATCCTCACGATACGGGTCGACCGTAGCCCGAGGCGAGGGCGCGGACCAGGGGGGGGGGGGGCAGGGGTCGCTTTGGCATGGGACGAGGAGCCATGACATCCATTGGAGATCTCGTGGCCCTGGCCCTGAGATCCGCTCCCCCCCCCCCCTGGTCATCCCCCCAACCCCCTCCCCCCTCTCTTGTCGAGGGATGCAACAGCGCCCCCACCCTGCGTGACAAGCGCGAGGTCCGTAGACCTCCTGGGAGCTCCCAAAGGCCAGAGAGCCGCCAGGACGCCGTGCGACACGCGCGATACGCACGGTTCCCCCGGTCAGCCCACAGGAGGTTCAGCGCACAGCACCTCGTAAACCAGGGTAGGGGCGTTTTTGACGCCCTTGATCTTGGGCGCTCCCGAGGGGAGGGGGGAGGCCGTGCCCCTCGGGCTGGGACCTCCCGGGCCCTGAGACTCCCTGCGGCGCCGGCGGGCGGAAGGTTTCTTTTGTGGGTTATTCACCGGCGGCACGTGCCATTATTATTTTATTGTTTTGTTGTTTTTTGGTAGTTTTTTGTTGGTTGCTCTGGGAAAAGGTCAGGGTGGCCTCAGGTCGGGCATGTCCTCCTGCAGGCGTATCTTGGAAGCACAGCGAGAAATAGTCGATACGTATTCAAAAAAGCCCCAAGACGGGCCAAGAGTGCCCCAAGAGGCCCCCACGACGATCCAAGAGGGCCCCGAATCGCCGAATGATCTGTCCAAGACGCCTTGACGGCCTCCAGACGGCCCAGGAGGCCTGCGAGACGCCCCAAGAGGCCTCCAGGACCGTTCCCACGAGAGCCCCAAGATGCAAAAATCATGGATTTCCCGTACGTTTTTCAAGAATTTTGACGTTCTCGCCTCTTCCGCTTCCCCACGCGCCAAGACGGCCCAAGAGGCCCCCAAGATCGCCCCGAGACGGCCCAAGAGGCCTCCAAGAGAGTCCCGAAACGGCCCAAGAGTGCCCCAAGACGGCCCAAGACGCCTCCAAGACGGCACAAGAGGCCCCCAAGACGGTTCAAAGAGAGTGCCCAGACGGGGGACCCGAACGGACATTTCGAGCCCTCAGCCCCGAGAAGACCCCAAGAGGCCCCCAGGGAAGCCCAAAGAGGCCCCAAGAGGCTCCCAAGAGGCCCCCAAACATCCCCCCAGAGGCCCCCGAGAGCGCTCGGAAGCAACCCCAAGAAGCACGTTTGAGGACTCAACCCACGTCAGCATCGTCGTCGTCGCTACCGCCGCCGCCGCCGTCGTCGTTCCCCTTCAGGGTCGGCGGCACCGGCCGTAAGGCCTTCGCAATAGTCAGTACGTATTCAAAGAAAACAGTGAAACACAACAGGAGCAGCGTCCCCTGAGGATCTCTTGTCCTATAGCTATTTTTGACTTTTCCTCTTGCAGAAGGACATGCCCGACGTAAGGGCAGCCTGCGCCTCCAACGCCAAAACCGCTGCGCGTCCAGCGAGGCCGAAGCGAAGCCGCGGTGGACCTCTCAGCGGAGGTCGGTGAAGAGCTGGTCACCCACGGGGGCGACGCAAAACTTCTGCTGGACTCTGCTGCGGACCCAACCGCGTGGGAATCTAATCACTGTCACCACTCGTGTCAGCGCCGAGCGACTCCTGCACACGATACCCCCCGCAAGGATCCCCTCTGAGACGCCCGCAGTAGCATGCGGGAGGGAGGCGGGGAGAAGAACCTCCGAGGCGGGTGGGAAGACGAGGGAGCGGGGGTGAGGAGAGCAGAGAGAGAGGGAATGTACACGAGGAAGAAGCTCCTCCCCATTTTCGGCCCTCCCCCTCCCACTGGACCTCCCACGAACTATTTCTACACCGTCCTGTGGTGTCGGGTCCTCGTTTTGAAAAGACAGCGCTTCGCGTTTCCCTCACTCCTCCCTCCTCCTCCCCCCCTCCCTCCTACCATCCCTGCGTCCGTAGCCATTTTGGCTCAAGCCATTTTGGCTCAAGCCATTTTGGCTCAAGCGCGAGCCAGATTGGCTCGTTTTGGTTCCCCATTCAGTTCGCGGGATCTCAACCCGCACGCGTTCACGATTATCCCTTCGGCGCCAGGCCATGGCGAGGAAGGGCGGAGGAGGAAAAGGTGTGGTCTCTTGGGCGCCGTGGCACCGCAGTTGGTCGCAGCCCCATCCGCCAGATGGAGGTGGGACAAGCAAAGGCGCTGTCCGCCCGCTGAAGCCCCGCGATCCCAAGGTCTGGCCCCCGCTCGTCCCTGGCCCTCAAGACCATGGTGGCGATGGTGGTGGCGGCGCTCATCATTCTGCTCCTTCCCGTTGGGAATATTTGCTGCGTGGATGTCGCCGCAGCGAGCACCGCTTCTACTACTGCAAACACTGTGGTAGCCTCAAGTCGGAGTCTGCATACCTCAGTGGCGCATGGGCTTCGGGGAAGTCGCCCCTCGAGTTCTTCAAGGGCACTCAGGTCGGTGGAGGCAAAGGTGCCAGCGGCAAGGGCTCGGGTGTCGAAGGAGGCTCGAACACTACGGCGTCTGCTCCGTCTTCAAAGCTCTCTGTGGAGGAACATCTGCAGATGGCCGCTTTGTGCGAGAAGGCAGGCGATCTCCACGGTGCTCGAGGTTACAGGACAGCGGCTCAGGCGCTCCAGGCGCCAGAGCAGCACCAGGTCCCCTTGCAGTCCCAGCTCAACCGCGCACACCAACAGGCTCGTGCAGTGGAGAAGAAACTCAACAGTGCCGTGGACCGTTTCGAGCAGCTTGAACAGCAGCAGCTGGCAGCACAGAAGTCCCACGTGCTGCAATTCAGGGCGGATCTGGAAGCCGCAGAGGCAGAGCACAGCGGCCTGGTGCGCCAGCTGCACAATCAGCTCCAAGACGGTCAATCGCAGTCTGCAGTCGCTCCAGGAAACAAGCTCAGCCTCGAAGACTTGCTGGGCGAGCAGCGCTTCTCGGCGGCCTTCGACCTCGGCGTGGGAGATTGCTTCAAGATCGTTGAGGACGAGGAATCACTCTCGCCTGATGAACTTCAGCAATTATCGGCGCGAGTGGACCTTTTCAAGACTGGCATCGCGGACATGGCTAAGAATTTGTTCGCAGAGGCGAAGGCCAAGGTCGACGAGCTC